AGCACCAAATAAAGAGCTTCATATTTACATTACTGGACCTTCTCATCATGGAATTCATCAATTTTTCCAAGCATTTGATTTTGTTGGAAAAGGTGAAAAGGAGGTTAAACTAAATACTATTGATTTTAGAAGACATGTTGTTAGTCATTGTATTCAAGGGATTATTAGACTTGTAGATATTGTAGAAGATGTAAAAGAAGACAATGAAAGTATTCCATTTGATATTACCCCTTTAATAAAAGTTCTTGAAAGTTCTAAAATGATGCAACGATTACATACTTCAATTGATATTAAAATGGATCCTGCATGGAAAGAATTGATGACTCTAATACAAGACATTTGGTTTAATCCAATTATTCAAAAATATAATTGTCCTCCATATCATGAGGATATTCATTTCTTATCATATTTAATTCCTCATCTGTCTAAATTTTTATCAGTTGAATATATTCCTACAATAAATGATTTGTACTACTGTCCTCCAATAAGTCCAATTCAAATGTCACAATTTACTCATAACGATGTTAATATTTATTTATCTACATGGAATCCACCTCCAACACTAGACATGAATCAAATTCAACTTGGAAATCCCTCAATAATAATTATTCCTGTCTTACTTGACAATTATTGTTTTGTTGAGCCAGAAGGAAATTGTTTACTTAGAGTTATTTCTACATTGAAACGAATAACAACAACTACTGACCATCCCTTTGAAAGTAAAGGAATGTATATATTCCTTATAAAGAAGCATTTTGATGAATTAATAAAGAGATATCCATTAAAAAATTGTTTTCCTGAATACGATGGTAGTATTAGTGAAATCAATTTTATTAAACAACAATTTAAATTTAGTAAACCATTTATGACAGGGGAAGTAGGTATTATAGTTTCGAATATTCCTGACCCCAATTCATTACTCAAAATTCCACGTGCAATTTATCCAGTTATAGAAAAAGAGGCAAAATTAAAAAATGAAAAAATTAATGTTAATGAAGAAAAAGAGTCATTTAAAGTCTTTAACTACCAATTTAAAGAAAGTAAAAAAGTTAAATGTATTACTGGAATGATTTCTTTACAAGGTAAACGACCAACAAATGAAGATACTGAAATTGTTAAAGATAAAATAAAGAAGGATAAAATTAAATTCGGACTTTATGCAGTGTTTGATGGGCATGGAGGAAGTGGAACTTCACAAGCTGCAATAAGTGTTGTTGAAGAAGAACTAATGAAAAGTGAATTGATGAAGAAGAAAATGTATGAAGAGATGATGAATGAAATTTTCAGTAAAAGTGATAAAATATTATGTAATACTGTTTATGACAATTCAGGATGTACAGCAGCAGTTGTTTTGGTGATTGGTAGGTTTTTAATTTGTGCAAATGTTGGTGATTCAGAGGTATTAGTTATTTCTGAAGGAAAACAATATGAAGTACTTTCAGTTCAACACAAAGCAAAATTACCAGATGAAAAGAAAAGGATTACAAGTCTTGGTGTTCCTGTTTATGGTGGAAGAGTATATGGCAGTTTAGCCGTTTCAAGATCATTGGGTGATAAACAATATAAAGGAGGAAGAGGAGCTGTAATTTCTACTCCACATGTGAAAGTTTATGAAATGACAAAGAAAGATAAGGCATTTGTAATATCATGTGATGGTATTTATGAAACATTAAATTATGATGATGTTGTTGATTGGGTAATTACTGGTATTAAATTAAATAAAGCCCCAACAATAATTGCAGAAAATATTGCAATAGATGCATTAGAAAAAGGGTCTAAAGATAACGTTAGTGTTATTGTTTCATTACTTAAATGGAAATAAAATGCATTGATGTATAATAATTAAGCTAACTTTGTTCTCATCTTATTTTTGTTTTATTTCATCAACAACCTCACTCATTTATTCTTATATTCTTTTATGTTTTCATTATATTTATAATTTAAATTTATAAGTATGTTTAGACTCATTTGTTGTCTGAATCTTTTGAATAATTAATAATGAAGAAATAACAATATGAAAATATAACACTTCCAATTAATAACAAAATATATTTTTAAATTTTGTTTTAAAAAAAATAAAAATAAAAAAGAACTTTAAAAAAAAGGAAATACCAAGTATGTCTAATACAATTCCTTCTCTTTCACCTTTACTCATTCAAAAAAATAAAGACACAATTTATTGTTGTAAAGTTATTGCGGCTATTGGATGTGGAATTGTGAGTGGTGCATTAGGACTTGTTCATATTCAAGGGTTTATTTTTATGATGGTGATGTATTTATTGATATCAATTTTACTTTATTTAAGAATATTACCATCAAAAAAAGATTTATTTGAAGGTAGTTATGATGTGTTGTTTGAAGCATTTTTCCCATTTATTATGGTTTGTTATTAATATTATAGCAATAAAATTGAACTTATAAATATTAGTCATTTATTTTTGTGTGGACTGTTGTCTATTCCTTAGTTTACATCTATTAAATAAGAAATAGAAATACTTAATTGACTTGTACTTGTCATTTTATTATTTTATTATTTTTTGAATGAACTGAGTAATATTAATCAGTGATGAACTTTGAAGGAAAGGTTGCACTGATTACTGGAGGAACATCTGGAATTGGAGAAGCTATTGTACGTCAACTTACTGAACAAAAATGTAATGTTATTTTTATTGGAAGGAGAAAAGAATTAGGTGAATCTATTTCACATGAATTAAATAATAAACATTTGGGACAAATAGATTTTATTCCATTTGACGTCACTAATTTCAAAGAGTATGATTCATTGGTTCATATCGTTCAAGAAAAGTATAATAGGTTAGATCTTCTTGTTAATAATGCTGGAATAGTTACTTATGACACCTGTGATGAATTGACTGAGGAAACATTTGATTTAATTTATCAAACAAATGTAAAAAGTGTTTGGCAAATGACAAAACACTTTCATAATTTACTTGAGCAAAGTCATGGTGCTGTAGTAAATATTGGTAGTGATGTTTCTATTAAAGCTGACCCTCAATATTTTGGATATAGTGATAGTAAGGCTGCAGTTGTGCATATTACTAAAATGATGGCACTTCAATATGCACCAAACATTCGTATCAATGCAGTTTGTCCAGGTGATACATTTGTTGAAAGATGGATTTCAGATGAAGAACTAGAACGTAGGTTTGGTGAAGAGATGGCACATGACAAAAGCCTTAGGAAGGAATTAATTGATTCAATGCATCATTCCATTGACATTCCACTACAAAGAGTTGGAGAAGTAAATGATGTTGCAAATGCTGTTCTTTTCTTGGGAAGTAATTTAGCTTCATTTATAACAGGAACATCATTACTTGTTGATGGAGGAGCTTCTATAGTATAAAATGAATTTTTTTAATTTATTTTTATATAATGTTAATCTTCATAAACTAAATAATGAATATTGAGGAGGTGGTTGTCCAAAGATTTATTAAATACGTTCAGTTTGAAACAACTAGTGACCCAATGTCTAGTTCTATTCCATCTACCCCTACTCAAATTGAATTTGAAAAATACCTTCAGAATGAATTAAATGAAATGGGAATTAAAAGTGAATTAACACAAACTGGTCATCTTTTTGCATATCTTTCTAATTCTCCAACACTAGCTTTTTTTGGTCATGTAGACACTTCAAATAATGCTCCTGGTAAAAATGTTAAACCACTTATTCATGTTGTTGGAACAGAAGATATTCACTTACCTTTAAATAACATCATATTAACAGCTAAAGAATTAATGAAATACCAAGGTAAAAAAATAATAACTTCTAGTGGTGATACATTACTTGGTGCAGATGACAAATGTGCTGTTGCTATACTCATGACAATTTGTGAAATGTACAAAAATAAAGAAGTTCCTGTAGTAATAGTTTTTACTCCTGATGAAGAAATAGGAAGAAGTATAACACATTTAGACATTAACAAAATTAAAACAAAAAAGGCTTATTCTTTAGATGGTAATGAGTTAGGGACATATTCAACAGAAAACTTCAATGCAATAAATTGTTTTGTTCAAATTGAAGGAACATGTTGTCCTAATGCATTATTACGTTATTTAGAATTGAAACCAATAAATCATCCATCATTAACAAAAGACAAAGAAGGATTTGTTTTGTGTACTTCAAGTAAAGCAAATGAAACAAAAGCAAGTAGTTATTTTATTATACGATCTTTTGAAGAAAAAGAATTACAACGTTTTGTTCAAATAATGAATGAGAATGGAAAAATTGTAGAGAATGAATATCCTGTTAAGGTGAGTATTGAAATGAAACGAATGTATTCTAATATTCAAAGATTTTATGACTGTAAAGTTTTAGAAGATAATTTAATAAATGCAATGAAAAGATGTGGTGTTGTCCCAATTAAAAAACCATTTAGAGGTGGTTTTGATAGTTGTTGGTTATGTGAAAAAGGAATAGAATCAATTAATTTCTTTTCAGGAGGTATAAATTTTCATTCCAGAAGAGAGTTTGCAGTTGTAGAATCAATGGTTAAAGCAGTTGAGATTGTAAATCAATTAATTATTGAACTAAATTAATTTTTAGTCATTCCTTCAATTTATTTTTCTTTAAATTCTAAAAAATAAAATTAAGAGAAGTAGTTTATTTTTTTAAATCTTTCAATAATAATCAAAACTTTTTTTTAAATGAAGATGCATTACAGGAGAC